AGTGTATTCAAAGTTTACAATTATAGAAAGTATACTATTTTTCCATCTCCTACAAGAAATGAACAGTTTAAGATCACCTTTTCTTTTTGAAGCAAAACATTTACTAGTGTATTTTAGATGTACATAGTGATCACATTCATCATAGGGAATTTGTACCTATACATGATATATCTTGCTTCTTTTTATTATCTCATTCCCCCCCTTTCCCCTTCAATACCTCTTGAGTTTAAGATTTCTGTGTAAACCAGGCAGAGTGGTGCACACCTCTAATCCCAGCAATCAGGAAGCTGATGCAGGAGGATCTCTGTGAGTTCAAGCCCAGCCTGGACTGCATAGTGAGACCCCAGCACTCCTTCACCCCTAAAAGCTGGCCTCTTGCCTGCACTAGTGGGCAGTCTGGTCCCCTGCATCAGAGGCCCTCTCATTGCTCAGGCTGGGTCCTTCCCTTTGTTTCTACAAACTCTTCTCTGTTGAGGGACAGACAGACTGATCTCTGTCAGCTAAAGTCCCTTACTATTTTCTTGTACTTTCTAACTAAAGTTTTTTCCTGTAAAATTGTGGTTTAGTTTTAATTGTCATTGCTACTAAAAGCAGGGTACCAAGCTAGCTAGTGACAAAGTCAGAGAATCATTCTCAAAAATTAAATAGGTTGGAAAAAAAAAATTAAATAGGTTGGGCCGGGGATTTAGCTCAGTGGTTTCGCAGCTTGCTGCGCAAGTGCAAGGACCCAAGTTCAATCCCTAGTACCAAAAAAAAAAAAATTAAATAGTTTGCTGGGCATGGTGGCTCACACTTGTAAACCCAGAACTTGTGAGGCTGAGGCAGGAGGATTGCAGAGTGTGATCCCAGCCTGGGATACATAATGAGTTCAAAGCCAGCCTAGGTAGGGTACACAGCAACACCCTGTTTTGTTTTTTTTTTTAGTAAAGCATTTATTGGTACATTTTAGATATACACAATGATAACACTCATCATAGGGAATTTGTATCAGTACATGATATATCTTGCTTCTTCTTTTCTTTTCCCCATTCCCCTCTCTTTTGTACCAAAGGTTTGTTTGCCTTTTTCCTTAGATTTTCTCTCTTTTTTGTCCCTTCCTCCTTCCTGCCTCCCTTGTTCCCCTTCTCATTTGAACACTTCCCATTTCCCAATGTCTATTGTATATTATAGTCCTTATTTCCACTTTCAGGTTATCACACCAGAGAAACAATGCAGTATTTACACATATGTATTCAATTTATTTCACTTAAGACTACGGTCTCAAAGTGCATCTATTTAGCTATAAATGTCTCAAGCTCATCCATAACAGAATAGTACTCCATCATGTAAAAAAAACACAACTTCCTCATCGATTTGCCAGTTGACAGGCATTAGGGCCATCCAAGATTTAGTTATTATAAACGGTGCTGCTATAAATATAGCTGTGCATATATCTGTGGCATGATGCTTTTGATTCTTTCAGGAAGATACCCAGAAGAATAGCTGGGTCAAATGGAAACTCCACTTTTAGTTTTTTGAGGAATCTCCACACTGATTTCCACAGTGGTTGCACCAGTCGACACTCCCACAATAGTGGAGAAGGGTTCTTTCTTCCCCATAGCCCCGTCAGCATTTGTTATTGGTTGATTTTTTTTTTTTTCCAGTATTGGAGATTGAACTCAGGACCTTGTGCTTGCAAGTCAGGCTCAGCATCACTGAGCTAAATCTCTAGCCCTTTGTTATTCGTTGATTTCTTGATAGCAGCCATTCTTTCTGGAGTAAGATGGAATCTCAGTATTGTTTCATTTGCATCTCTCGAATGCCCAGTGATGTTGAACATTTTTTCATATATCTATTTGCTGTTTCTACTTCATCTGAGAAGTGTTTATTCATTTCAGATGCTCATTTTTGGATTGGGTCTTTGCATTTGGAGGGTCTGATTTTTCTGAGTTCTTTTTATAGTCTAGATGTCAGTCCTTTGTCTGAGGACCCGCTGGCAAATATTTTTTTCCCACCTTGTGGGTTGTCTTTTCACTCTTGATGGTTTCTCTTGATGTGCAGAAGCTTTTTAATAAGGTGAAATCCTGTGATAGCCAACCCGACTCCTTCTTGTGCCTCAACATCAGCTTGTACCTGTGCTTGGACAAAGTGCTTGTGGTTGGACAAGGCACCCAAAACCCCCACATCCTGCTTGGCAGTAAACTTGCTGCAGTTGCAGGATGTTTTGTAGCTCACCTGCTGTGTGTGAAACTTCCTTGTGCCCCCACTAACCTGGAATGATTCTGTTTCTGTAAGATTCCTCTTGCTTTCCCCCGAGCCCTCCTCAACTGAAAGCATGATTTAAAAGGAGGAAGCAAACTGGTTCCCATTGCCAAGGAAACTTTTTAGGGCGCTGGCCCCCCTCAGCCCCTGGCTATAATAAACGGGCTCAAATCTGACACAGAATGTGGCTCATCTTTATTGTTCGAACTCGTTCATCCACAACAATCTCAGCTGTTGATTCTTTGTGATATTTGCTGTGCAAGTTCCCTTGCCAATGAGGTTTTGTTCATAAAATCTTTTCTTACACCAGTGTCTTCAAGAGTTCTACCTAACCTCTGTTCCAGCCTGTTCAGCGTTTCTGTTTTAATATTTAGATCTTTAATCCATTTCAATCTTAGTTTAGTGCATGGTGAGATATATAGGTCTAGTTTTAATCTTTGGCACATTGAAACCCAATTTTCCCAGCACCATTTATTAAAGAGACTATCTTTCCTCCAATGAAGGTGGTTGGCTCTTTTGTCAAAGATGAGATGACTGAGTGTGTCTGGAGTTGTTTCTTTATCTTCTAATGTGTTCCACTGGTCCTCAGGTCTGTTTCTTTGCCAGTACCATGCTGTTTTTATTACAGTAGCTTTGTAGTATAGTTTCAAGTCAGGAATTGTGAAGCCCCTTGCCTCGCCTTTGGGCAACACCTGCTTCAAAATAAGAACATCAGAAGTTAAATGGAACATTGCCACTTCCATCCACACCTCTTCCATAGTCCTTCTGATATGGGGTAGACTGCTTCTAAAAGTGGCTTACCAATTAAACCAGGTTCTGGGTTGCTTGCTTCTCCCTCTGGAGTTAGATTCCAGGTTCTTCTGGTCTCTTACAAAGAACTGAACAAAATAAGCAAAAAGCATTGGCCAAGCCAAGTTTATTCGATAAAGTAAAAGGAAGAGTGAGGAAGAAACTTTCTCTTCAGAGCAAACTTGGACTGAGAAAAAGCAATAAAAGGTCATACTGGAGGAAGCAGTGCAGGCTACTATGAAGAATGCCATGATAGCAAGTTCTTCATGGCATCAGCATATCCTTTCGTGCTATTCCAATCTCGGGGAAACCCACAAGAACTTCTACATCTGGGTTATCAGGGGAGGTTCTGGGATTGCATGCCTCAGGGTGATGTGTGGTCTAGGCCATCCTGTTGAAAGCCTGCTTGAGTTCTCCAGGAGTCTGCATCCAGGGCTTTGAGAACTGTTCTGCGAATATGTTCTGAGATCTTTTTCATTTGTTTCTTTTGAGACAGAGTCTCTTGGTGTAGAACAGGGTGGCCTCCAAATCACAGCAATCCTTGTGCCTCAGCCTCCTGAGTGCTGGGATTATAGGTGTGTATACCATCATGCTCCAGTATGTTTTGGGGTGTTTTTTTTGGAGTCTTATAACGAACAGGTCACATCTTTCCCAGCCAGCTTTGCCACACCCTAATATCCTATCTCACTTCCAGGCTTCCCACTGTCCTCCCTTGTGGCTGCCTCCGTGAGCCTCTACAGGCCTGGTCTCCCTGCATCTCGGAGATCTTGTCCTCTCTTCCTTGGTCCCTGGCCCAGCTATTGTGGCTTTCTTTTTTTTTTCTTGGTACAGGGTATTGAACACTGGACCTTGCGCTTGCAAGGCAGGCACCAGAACCACTGAGCTAAATCCCAGGCCCCTATTGTGGCTTTCTTTTGTTTCCTTTCTGATCACCAGCCTTCTCCCCTCCCAGGGTAGAATACTCTTCTTTTTTTTGTTTTTGAAGTTTTTAAAGTTTATTAATCTTCTCGTGAAAAACCCACAGTCACTGCAGACAGGCACTGCAAAATCTTTACTCCTTTGGCTCTTCTCCGATCTCCAGCTCACTGCCAGACACTTCATTTCTTTTTGCCGGAACCAACATTGGCCTTTGCGGTGCCCCTG